AGGCTAGAGCTGCGGGCGGCCCGTGTCAGGGCACGCGAGCCTCCCCAGCTGCCTCCTGGCGTCCCGTGTGCATCGCAGTGCGGGCCTGCGTGGGCCCAGCGGGCTGGATGGCCCTGAGTCCCACCACCCCTCCCTTAGCAGCTGAGGCTCCCAGCACCCCTCTTGTGTTATGGGGTGGGGTCTGCAGCGCAGCGGCTGTCAGCTCCGAGGGTCACCCCCCTTACCAGGACTGAAGTCTTCCCCTAGCTCGTCCCCGTTTCCACCACGGACGCTGGGGTTAGACCCCTTCTTAGCGGCACCGTTGGCGCCATGAGTCTCCCGGTTTAGCTCCTGGCCCAGAGCGCCCACCTGCCCGCCCACCAGCCCCGTCTCCCTCCTGCCCCACAGCCAGAGGGACCACCATGCCCTCCTCGTGACAGGCCCCTGGTGATGGCCACCAGGCCCGGCAGAGCTGGCACTGCGGAGCTCTCAGCTCTCAGCCCGGCTCTGCCAGCCTTACCTCTGTTTCCCCCGCCCCCTCTCCCCCCTGCTGCACCCGAGCCACGTCCCCCGACTGCCCTGTTCCCACACACCCCAAGCCCGTGACGAGCCCCCACTCAGGACCCTCTGGCCTGCCTCCGCAGGGCAAAGGCGGCACCAAGACGCTGATGAACACCATCATGCAGCTGCGGAAGATCTGCAACCACCCGTACATGTTCCAGCACATCGAGGTGCGCCTGCGCGGGTCCCCCGACGGCGCCCACCGACGGGGCCGCACACCCGGCTCGCCCTGGTCCTCCTCTTGCCCCACGCACTGTCCTCGGCCCACGCGGTGTCGGGAATGGCCCTCGGGGAGACGCTGGCCGCCCTCGCAGCGCTCTGGGGACGGGCTCCCTCCCGGGGCTGTGCTCACCGAGGGGCCTGTCCTGGCAGCAGCCCCCGCTTCAGCACAGTATGCGGGTCAGATCCCGTTCGGGCCCGAGCCTGGGAATCTGGCTTCTGCGGCAGAGTCTCACGGCCGCGTTTCTGGGTGTGAGGTGGTGTGAGGTCTCAGGGCTGTTGTCGAAAGCCCTGGGCTCCGTTCAGCACCCCGAGGGAGGGTGCCGTCCTGTGTGCTCACGTGGTATTTGCCTAGTGTCCCTCTTCCGGGATGGGGAGCCCAAGGAAGGCGGACAGCTGCTTCCACGTCTGCGCCTGGCCGGCCTCGAGCCGCCGCGGGCACTGCCTGAGCGCAGGGCGAGGGCCCTGTCTGACAGCGGAGCCGTGGACTGCGTGGTAGGCCTGTGGCCCTGACTCTCACCTCTCTCTCTTCCCTCGCAGGAGTCCTTCTCGGAGCACTTGGGGTTCACCGGCGGCATCGTCCAGGGGTGAGCCATGCCAGCGGGCGCTGTGGGCAGATCGTGGGAGGTGCTCTCCATCTCGTGCGGTTCGCTTAGTGCTGTTCCCTCATTCATCCCATGTCCGTTTAGAAAATACTAAAGGACCCAAAGAACAAAAGAGAAATCCTCCATTTTGAGAGCTGTCCTCCTGACCCCAAACGCCAGACTTCCTGGGGGAGACCAGGCTTCCAGGGCCCGCCCTGCCGCCTCCACGTTAGGGTCAGCTGGACAGCGTGCTCAGCCTCCGACAGGAACTCTGCTGTCGTATACTGACACCCTTTTTAATTTTATTTATTCATTCATTTATTTTTTAATTTGACCAGGAAGAGAGGGAAAGTGAGAAAGCAAGCCACCAGGTCTGGGACTCAAACTGTGGTCAGCCATGTGGGAGTGTCCAATGTCTTAACCACCCCGCCACCTGCCAATCCCCTAGAGACACCCTTTATGCCACGTGGAACCGTGGGCTGTGGGCAGAGAGGTGTTGGGGGCACTCTGGGCCAACTGCCCACCTTGGAAAGCCGTCCCACTGTCGGCCAGTACAGAAAGGGCTGCTTGATTCATGGGCCCTTGAACTTCTGCAAGCCCCTGGTCTGCGGTGTAAGTGCCACTTGCAAATTTTCGCCATTGCAGAGCCCTACTGCACGTGTTCTTGCAGGGGTCGGCAGGGGGCGTGGTGGTTAAGGGCTGGACTCCCACATGGCCAACCATGGTTTGGGTCCCAGACCTGGCGGCTTGCTTTCTCACTTTCCCTTTTTCTCTCTCGCTTGCTCTGTCCCTCTCTGGTCAAATTAAAATAAGTAAATAAATAAAGTTAAATAAAATAATTTCTTAAAAAAAAATGTTCTTGGAACTAAAACCATCCTTCTTCTCCTGAGATGTTAAACTATTTCCAAGAGCAGAGATGCCCGATGGAAGAGCCAGAGTTCATTCGTTTCTAGTTTTTTCCTACGAGGAGGAGACACAGGGAAAGTGGAAAATCACCCCCGGGGGGATGGCCATGCCACTGTCCCTTCTCCATTCTCTCAGGATTTGGGGCAGGGACGCATATACACCCAGCCTGATTTTCAAGCCCTCAGGTCTGGGATTTGAACCCCATAGTTGGCCATGCGGATCTGGACACTTCAACCTGCGTGCCACCTCCTGGCCGTGGACATGTATTTAAAAATCTGTTTCGGGATTATGTATGTGTTGATTCTGTGAGACAGACAGAGCCGGCTCCTGGGCCTTGGTGCTGTCGTGTACCTCCGGCGACAGCCAGCTGTGGGCCGTGGACGCGAGTGTGCACGGCTTACTCAAGGCTCTGCACATGAGCCGGGGCCCTCCCCTGTGGGTCAGCTTCACAGCGTGCGGTTTTCTGCCGTACCGCTGACCAGCCCCATCGCGGGTGGTTTGGATACCCAATTCCGTAATAGAGTCCCACAGACCTGGGTGCAAGTCCTCGTTCTGGTACCCTGCCCCCAGACCCCAGCTCCCCGAGCCTCACTTTGCACATCTGTATACAGCTGGGGGTTGTTGGCTGTAGAGAATGACACTCGGGCTGTCAGGGCGGCACGCCCTCGCGTGAGTGTTCTCCTGGAGGTTAACAGGAGAGGGGACAAGGCCCCACTTCCTGGTAGCAACCCCCATCATGCCCACAGGCCCGGGACAGCTGTTGGGTATTTTTGGTTTCCTAGTTAATCAGGGGCGCCTCTGCTCAACC